GAAAAACAGCTGTGATAAACTGACAAACTGGGTTTTTCTCTATTGTTACTCTATTGGGGTCTCTGTTGTTTCTGGTTTAAGGTAGGAGGAAAACTAAGAGCAAATTAAACTTGTTCCTGAAGCAACACAGATTATGGAGATTGAGAAACTCATGGTGTTAGGGTTAGCGATTAAACAAGTTATAGTGTTTCATCACAGATCTCTGAAGGTTTAAATCAGATTTAAACCTCTTGGTTCTGTTCTTCTGTAGTTTTGCTCATTCTTCTAATGTTGATTCATTTTGTATTTGTATTTGACCCAAACTGCAAAAACACTTAAATCTGGTGCCAATAGTGTCAAAATGTTTATAAACTCTGCAAAAACACAAAATCTTAAGGATTTGTGATTTAGCTTTTAGTGCAAATAGTGCAAAACTAAATTACAAGTTACTTTTAAAATAATTTCTTAATATTGATGGAAAAGTACTCTTTTCACTGGCAGATTAATTCACTTTTAACAAGACATTTTCCCCATGTTATAAGTGAAATAATTTTTTTAATGCAACTAGTACTTTTTAATATTATTAAGGATATTTTTTTCATAATACATATAAAGATCACAATTCTTCCCATCTTAGGTTACCTACTTGTGACGTCCTATAAGAACAACATCATTCACTTTATATTACCTACTGACTACTGGATTAGTTAAAATAATCTGAGACACTGTACCTTTAAAAAAAGATGGCAAACGATCAGGATTAAAATCTGAGAATTCATGCACTTTAAATTTGCTTTGCCATCGTAAATGGTGCATATTTGTGTGAAATGTCACATTTCTGCTGTCATCCTGCAGCTGACGAGGTGCTCAGTTACTTCCAGAGAAGATAATCCTGTGCTTACACAGCACACACCGGTCAGATACTCTCATATTGTCAGGGTTTTTCAGACTGACATAATCTGTTGAGTTTGTTAAAACCAGCAAAGTTAGAAATGTTCCAGAAGATCATGCAAATTTATGCAAAGTTTTAGTTTTGTTGGGAAAGGTTCTGCTGTAATTTAACGTTTCTATGTCCATCTCAGGTCCAGTAGGTTGACAAACACTCAGGTTCTCTGTATTTATTCCAACAAAAGAAAAAATGCAATAAATTACCCTTAGCATATCTACCAACAAGCAGCTAGCAGCAGTTAAAATTAAAGGTTGCTAAAATGAACAGCATCAATAATAACAGTTAAAAATGTTTTCAAAACAGACACAAATTTACTCATCAAACACTGAATTTGTCTAAAATATAATACACAGAGCTGCTCCTAATACATGCCAGCTACCGACGGCGACAGAAAAAAAGGAAAATAAATTCAAAGAATAAATAAACAAGTTTTGACAAACTGCAGATTTAATAAACAAAGTTTGACTCCAGAAAGACTCTTCTGAAGCATCGACAAATATTTGAGTCATGCGTGTCTTTTGCAACATTCTTTTAAAGTAATTTCATCATGAAAATGTTTATTTGTTCAATAAAAACACACAAATATAAAGCTTTTCTGTTGTAAACTTTATGCTTTTGCATCCTTCGAAGTTTGACACATACAGCAAAAATAACCAATTAATAACAATAACCTATTGTTATTGACCTCACTTTGTCCCTCATTCTTAACGTGAGACAGTTGTTTTATGCATCTATTAAAAACCAACTCTGTGTCCTGCAGGAAGTGGAAATATTTTTGAACTCGCTCGGCATTTCGCTGACTCAGCAGCTGTCACCTTGACTGAAGGGCCGCATGCTAACACTGACAGTGTTACTTAGTTCAGAAAATAATCGGTGAAAGGGTGACCTGTCAAAGACGGACATGATGGAAGAAACTTCTGCTTTAATAGGAAGAGATGTTGGACGAAAACCCGATTTTATTTTATAATTCCTCTCAAATGAGACCAGAGAAAATTGAGAATTGGATGCTTTTCTCATAATAAGACAAAAAATATATATGTTTTAATCTTCAGTGATTTACAGACATATAACTACTTTGATTAAAATGTTTTATGCTTATTTAGTTTGTAATCCTTTATTGTTTTATGGTAATTCATATTGTCAACATTGCCACAGTTTTATTAAAATATGAATAAATAATTACCAACTGTAAAAACAGTATTATAAGTATTATTATTTTTCTTATTCTTTTTATTAGTAGTAGTAGTTATGGTCATAAAATAAATATAGATTGCTGTTAGCAATGGCTATACATACAATATATATCTAATTCATACAATATATATCTAATTCATAATTTATTTTAATTTTGTTTCTGTTGTCTTGTTTATTTATTTGGGATATTTAGGTTTTTGCACTATTATGCCATTATATTACTTGAAAATTGTCTCTAAACAACAATAATGGAGTTTATAGCAATAATTTCAGGGATAAAGTTCCAGCAAAATTAATTAAGTTCACGGTTGAAACTAACAATCTGCAAAGAGTAAAATTGGTATGAATACTTCTGAAACATTTGCAAGAGAGAAAAACATGATTCTGAATATTTCAACTCATTCTTTGAGAAACTTTTCAAACTTTTAGGAACCAAAAGTTTTGGGTCATTTTCCTCTTGAATAAAAAAAAAAGTCATGCAGAAGCAAACGCAAAAAGCTTCCTGTTGATGCCCAATTTAACTTAGAAATTAAGCATTTATGCATAGAAAGATGGTGAGAAGTCAGCAGATATTTCTCTGAGGAAAGCTGGCAGCGTTATTGCTCAGTAATCCAAACTGCATCGGGTCAGCCTGACCCGTCTTCACTCTTTCTGCCCGTCTCGCCGTTTATTTTCATATTAAAGCGAAAGTGGCGTATTTATGAACATCAGGTCGTTCCTGAAAGCAGGATTCATGCTGGCAGAAGAGATTCTCATCTGGCAGATTTAAATGTCAGCCTCTGAAAATCCCTGGTGGAGCGAAAAAAGTCAGAATAGATCCAGTTTGGTTCTTCTCTCAGTGGATCAATACAACAATTGATCTGTCAGGCTGTTTGGACCTGGTTGCTTTCTGTATGTAAACAGAGAACTGATTCACAGCGTTTGTCTCAGAGAGAAAAGCAGATTATATTAACATCACCGTATTTCATGTCCTACATACAATAAGTATAGTAAAAAGTAAAAAATATATTTTTTAAATTGACTTTTTACACATTTTTGTTCTTTTATTTGGATCTCAACTGCTTAAAAAAAACTACACAGCTGTTTTAGTCAATAATTTTGTGTCTGGAAAACGAGCCGTTTCAAAAACCTTCCAGTTGCTAAGTCACATTCGCTGTCACCCAGAAACCCCAGGAATTCACCCAGCAACCCCAGGAATTAACCCAGCAACCCCAGGAATTCACCCAGCAACCCCAGGAATTCACCCAGAAACCCCAGGAATTCACCCAGAAACCCCAGGAATTCACCAGAAACCCCAGGAATTCACCCAGCAACCCCAGGAATTAACCCAGCAACCCCAGGAATTCACCCAGCAACCCCAGGAATTCACCCAGCAACCCCAGGAATTCACCCAGCAACCCAGGAATTCACCCAGAAACCCCAGGAATTCACCCAGAAACCCCAGGAATTCACCCAGCAACCCCAGGAATTCACCCAGAAACCCCAGGAATTCACCCAGCAACCCCAGGAATTAACCCAGCAACCCCAGGAATTCACCCAGCAACCCCAGGAATTCACCCAGAAACCCCAGGAATTCACCCAGAAACCCCAGGAATTCACCCAGCAACCCCAGGAATTCACCCAGAAACCCCAGGAATTCACCCAGAAACCCCAGGAATTCACCCAGCAACCCCAGGAATTCACCCAGAAACCCCAGGAATTCACCCAGCAACCCCAGGAATTCACCCAGCAACCCCAGGAATTCACCCAGAAACCCCAGGAATTCACCCAGCAACCCCAGGAATTCACCCAGAAACCCCAGGAATTCACCCAGCAACCCCAGGAATTCACCCAGCAACCCCAGGAATTCACCCAGCAACCCCAGGAATTCACCCAGCAACCCCAGGAATTCACCCAGAAACCCCAGGAATTCACCCAGCAACCCCAGGAATTCACCCAGCAACCCCAGGAATTCACCCAGCAACCCCAGGAATTCACCCAGCAACCCCAGGAATTCACCCAGCAACCCCAGGAATTCACCCAGCAACCCCAGGAATTCACCCAGCAACCCCAGGAATTAACCCAGCAACCCCAGGAATTCACCCAGAAACCCCAGGAATTCACCCAGCAACCCCAGGAATTCACCCAGAAACCCCAGGAATTCACCCAGCAACCCCAGGAATTCACCCAGCAACCCCAGGAATTCACCCAGCAACCCCAGGAATTCACCCAGCAACCCCAGGAATTCATCCACATTTTATCCGGTTTCTGGAGCAAATATCTTAATTTTGTTTTATTTCAAGTACAAGTAATGCTTCAGCAATAAATAAGAGTTTGTTTTAAGTAAGTAATTCCTTAAAAATATTAGTTTAACTGGCAGATTATTTCACTTATAATGTGAGAAAAATGTCATGTTATAACTGAGATAATCTGCAGTTCTTTTTCATAAACAAATAAGGAAATATTTACTTAAACAAACTCCTATATCTTGCTGAAAAGTTACCTGTAAGTTAGTTTTGTCTTATTTCAAGTGTAATAAAATATTTGTGCTAGTAATTAGATTTTTTGCTTTTGCAGTTTTGACACAATTAGCGCCAGATATATGGAGAAAAACAAATCTACTCCTATTTTTTTTAAATTCCCTTGAAATGTAAAATGTTGTTGAAAAATCATAATTGTTGTTTTTCATTATCTCATTCCTCTTGTTGATTGACATTCTGAATTATTTCAAATACCATGTCAGTAAAAATCTCCCAGTGACAGCAGGTTGGTTCGAGTTTGAGTCAACTTTAAATTTCATTTTTAAAATGAAAGATCACTACAATTTGACAGAAATGATGTTTTTTGATAGTTTATTTAATGAAAGTGCATTTTAAGGGTTGAGTCTTGTGTCCTGCAGGTGCGTAGAGTGAGCTCATTGGTGACGCGGCGCAGAGAGCAGCGCGTTCTGGTGATGGTCGTCATCATGGTGGTCTGCTACCTGGTCTGCTGGCTGCCGTACGGCGTCGCCGCTCTGCTCGCCACCTTCGGCCCCAGAGACCTTCTGACCCCGGCGGCCAGCATCACGCCGTCGCTGCTGGCCAAGCTTTCCACTGTGGTCAACCCTTTTATTTACATATTCATGAACAAACAGGTGAGACGCTCACTTTATCTGCAATATGGAGTCCAAACGATGAACATTTTTAAATTCAGAGAAATCAAGGGATACTTAAAACTGGAAAGATTCATTTCTTAAAATATTTGTTGTCTTTATTGCTTCAATAATATACAAAATAAAAGACAAGACCTTTGGTTGAAAATATAAACTGGGTTCCACGCAGTTGCTGTATTAATTTCCAAAAACTTTATAGGAGTTATTATCCTTTTTTTATGTTTGGCAACAAAATTTGAGCAATGTGAAACATAATCAATAAAAGCAGAAAAAGACTTTACCTTGTGGCTAAATAAAGAAAAAGTGAACAGATTTTATTTGTAAAAATATCAGATTAATCACAGATTCACTTCATTCTTGAACTGTGGACCAACAGCCAAACAACATCATCCAGAGGACTGTAAATAGTACTCATATGTATTGAGTAATTTTCAAAAATTTCAGTTTAGCTTAACCCCTGCATGTTTTCACACCTTCGCCGTCTATTTCATGTTTCTTCATGTGTCGTCTCAGCTCTTCAGCGTACGTTTATGATTTCTCCTAAATAGCTTTATCCAACGTTTTCATCCTAATTTTATTGCACTTGATTAACTGACATTTATATCAGAGCAGATAAACATGTTAATTAAGTGCATCAAATATCTTTTGGAAATATAAAATGAATTTCAACAATTAGATTTTAGAAAAAGACAAAAATAAGGACCTCAGAAGCATCTGTTCTCCGTCAAAGCGGGTCTAATTATGCGACACCCAATCCAGTAATTAAGTGTTTGTGTGATTTACACCCGCAGGAGGAGCGAGCAGAAGGCACGGTTTCTATCTCCCGGGTTTTTGTTTACACTTTAAGGCAGGACACACGTGAAGCGACACCCCGCCGCCTGCGCGGCTGCTCAGCGTTTCAAGGACGGAGAGCAGGGAGACGAGATAAAGACAGGAGAAATAATCTGCTTTCATTTCTAATTTAAAGCAGCACAAACATCAAGGTGTTTACTGCATGCAGGAATCAATAGATCTTCAGTCATTAGCTGATTGATGCAACAGGAATAGCGCTGATAGGACAACCTTTACCTGCCATGACTTTTATCTAAAAAATATTTTGCTTTTAAATTTCTCATTTTGGTTGACATGGTTTAAAAGCTTAGCATTAACATATGTTAAATGCATAAATACATCTTAGGATCAAGAAGAAGCATATTTTATTTGTTTTCATTTGTTTAAAGCCAGAAATGCCTTTAGTTATAAAATTATTTTTGTTTTTCTGGAGATTTTATGTGTTTTTAAACCACAAACCTCTCAATTCTCAATTTCTTCATTCAAGATTCTTGAATACTTTATTTCAATTAATCAATCAGGTGAAACCATAAAATGATCACATTTTAAGTAGCATTGTTAAAATGATCAATATACATCAAATACGTTGGTCAGTGTACCTTTCCATTCTGTGTAAATATTGTTTGAGTGATTTTTAAACAAGTTTCACAAAGATTTAGTTGTTTTTGTGTTTGTTTTTTTGACAATTTTGAATGGGTTTTGCTGTGGTTTTGTCCAGTTCTTGGATTGGGTATTTGTGCTTAATTGGAAGGGGATTAGATTACCAATCTGAGTAGTTTCAGATTATTTTTACGTTGGTTTCTGATGATGTTAGAACTTGTCGTTGTGTTGGTTAAAGACCAGGACGTTTTGCCCTTTAATTTGAAGTTTTTGACTGATTCTGAGTCAATAATTGATTCTGAATCCCTTTTCAGTGGTTTTGATACATTAAAAACATTTTCCTTTGGTTTTTAATCTTCAGAAGATTTAGATTGCATTTGGTTTCGATGTGGGGGTTTTTCTGATTTTGGACAACCGTTGAGAACATTATTGTAGTTAAGATATCTTTTAGGTTAATGTTTGGAATAAAACCAACAAATCAATATAAATTACTGTCTGGAATATTTTAGGATTAGATTTGTATAATTTCAGGCTTTTATACTGTATATACTGTTTTTACTGTAGATTTTATTACTGCTATTGAAGTTTTTGTTAAAAAATGTGACTAGATAAACAAAATGAATTAGAAGATGTCTTTTCTTTTGATGAAGAAAAGTTTAAATGAGTCAATTTTATGGAAATAAGTAAAACATGCAGTTTTTATATATTTGAATTGCCATCCTCCACTTTAACGTAGGGCAATTTTAAAGGTTCGCTGTTTAAAGACAGCAATATTTTTACTGACTAGGTTTCCTGTAAAATATATCAAATCCAACCTTTATTATTACTCAATAAAAAGTTTATATAGTTTTATTCAGAAATGTAATTCAGTAAAAGAGTTTTTTTTCTCTATTCCTCTCTGTGCAGCTGAAAATATTTTATTAATCTAATATTTCAATCTTAAATAATTAAATAAAGGCAATAAGTTAAATAATTTATTAGATTCTTTTTCTCAACATTTGTGTTTTCTTTAAAGGTGTAAACTCATTGATACTGCAAAAAAAATAAAAAATAAAGCTGAATTTTCTGCACCCTGCAGCTGTATTTATATTTAAACAGATTCCCAAAGCAATCTACAGTAAGTGTTTGTTTAGGTTTGCTGTTCAGAAATGCCTGTTGTTCAGCACCTGGACACTGTGTGTCCAGGTGCTGATGCAGCACAAATGCTTCCCATTGGTGAAAAGACCATTATGCAGGTGGCATGTGTCCTTCTTCATGCATCCTGCTGCAGAGAGAGGTGCTGGTGTCCTGCAGCTCCGGACATTTTTAGACGACGTTTGCACATTTCTCTTCAGGACTTTGTTGTCATATACTGTGATGTTACCAAACCAATTAGCGTGTTTTCTCCTGTGGAGTCACTGAAGTTGATTTTTTTTCTTTGTTAAGCATGCTATGCAAGGGCACCGATTTAGAGGAATGGATACAGGAATTACTCAGAGTACATGAGCTGGATTAGTTGTAATTACTCTCTAGGCAGGTATCAAATGTTTGTTTTCACTAAATTAAGTGACAAATTAGTGTTAAAGGGGACCTGATTTGGAAAATTTATGTTTTGCACATTTTTGTATTTTGCACATTTTGTATTTCCGTGCTCAAAAACACCCAGCCGTTTTCTGGCAAGAAGTTTATGTTCTTTATTGTTTGAAAAACGAGCTGTTTCAAAACCATATAGATTAAGTCATATTCTGCTGTTAACTAACAACCCAAGCTGAGTTCCAGCACATTTGCTCAGCTGGTTTTACCGCTGTGTTTTGTTGTTGACGTACCATCAGTAGTTTATTTTTATTCTCTTAAATCCAGTTTTGCAGATTTTGTATCATACTTTCTGGAAACATAGAGGTCAGATTTTGTCAGTTTCCAGGCTGGGGTTTTTGTGAAGCTCGACCCGCCTACTCAAATGAACTAATAGGAACAAATAATGACCTTGGGAGGAAATCATTTTAATCAAATTAATTTCTCGAGCCATTTTTATGGATCAGAAACTCAGCAGTCAGAATTTAGTAGCTTAATAAATTGAAAAAAATACCTATAAAAATAATCCATAGATGGAGGTAAAAGGAAAAAAAGCATCTTAAGACCAAAGACAAAAAAAAGCCCTTCAGATATCCAGAAGAACTCGATCAATACTGATCAATATGAGGAAAGACTGAAGATTTTTACACTAGTTTTAATGCTTTGATCTTTGTGAAAAAAACGTAACTTTTTTGGCACAATGTATGTGAAGCGCCTTAAGATTAAAACTCCTCTTTTCCTTTCCATACCACAAATATTATTTTAAGACAAATAAAACCTGAATTAAATGTAGTTTTAAAATTATGATTTAATTCATTTAAAAAACAGAAACCTGCCATCAAGCATTTGTGAAGATTGGAAATTAGTTTTTCACTTCACTGTGAATTAAATCTGTTCAGTCTTGTTTGCTGGATAATTTTATTTGGAGGGTTTTAAATTATGAACAGATTACAGGAAGTCATCAACACTGTAAAAACACAAACAATTACCACATATTTTTGGTCTAGTTTCTGGTGAAAATATTAAAATACATTTAAAATAAGACAAACTAACTTAAAAGTAACTTTTCAGCAAGACGTAGGAGCTTGTTACAAGTTGGTTTTGTCTTATTTAAAGTGTAATAAGATATTTTCAAAAGAAAGTGGAACAAAATTCTTGGAAAGACTTTGTGTTTTTGCAGTGTGGTGGTTGATTAGCTAATTTAAACAACTGTCAGAGTTAAAAAAAATAATAAAAAAAACCTAAACCAAATTCCACAGCACATCTACATGTAAGATTTTCAGTCAAGCTAGCATAAGTGACCTTCTTTCCTATATTCTGATTATTAAAACTTTTTCTTGACCTTGTTGTCTAGTTGTTGTTAATAAAGGTTGATAATTAGTAGCAAAGCACTGTGTCTCCTTTTGATATATATAATTTAAGATTTAGTGAGTTATGTTGGCAAATTTATAGCTAAAACCAATGATGGTCATTGTCGGCAGGCTGCAGGACATCACGCTGCAATGAATCTAAATTCATAGTTGTTTGCAAATATGAGAGGATTCTGCATTTGTCACGTTTTTTACAAGTTTGACCAACTTTACCTGTTATATAAAACAACTTAAGAGGTCAGAAATGTGATTTTTTTTCCCCCACCATAAAACAAAAAAACAGCTGAGTGAGTATATTTTAGGATATTTTTTCTACATTAGCAGCAGGGTGAAGAAGGGAAAAGTCCCAGAAGTGAGAGTGTAAAGTCATGATGGAGCGATTAAAGACGGGATGGACCGGGGAATTTGGGACTGACGACAAAACGAGAGTGCAGTAAAAACTGCAAGATGAATGGAGAACATTAAGATAAAGAACAAGCAGGCAATGCAAAGGTGACCATGGAGATGTAGAGTTTCATTTAATCTTCTAAAGGTAACACCGCTTTGATTTTGATTAGCGTGTGATGTGGCGCACTTTGGCGATGACCTTTTCGCTCCCCGGCCTTCGTCGCTCGTTCCTTTTATCTGCGC